GCTGCAAGCCAGGAGTCAGTCCCAGCAGTTGAGCCATGGGTGAGCCTGATGTAGGTAAGCATGTAAACGTATTTCCTGTTGCAATTATACTGATGGAACCCCCAACTTAACAGGACACAGCTATTGACTTTTCATTAATTTACTCATACTAGAAGAGGTAGCAGCACAACAGAGAGAGAGAGGCTTTTATCTGCTTCTCCATCCCCTCTACAGTTAGAGGGGAGAGCCATGCGGAGCTGTTTGTTTATGTACACAGGGATGTCTCTTGAATCCTCCTGAGAGATCTCGATGAAACTTTCATGGAGGTACTCTGCAATCCTCTCCCTTAGGCTTCTATGGATGGCTACCTTATTCTCTCTCCACAGTGGGATGCTTTCCCATGCCAGTTGGTGATAAGTTTGGCGGGCAACATTGCAGTAAACAGGCTAGCAATGTATGGACCCAAGTGCCTTCTGGAAGCCAGTAGTAGCTGTGCTCTCTGTGCCTTTTGTCACCCTCGAGTAAGATATCAGCTAAAATCTCTATCGCCTGTGGAAAATGGTGCCAGTATTCAGTACCATTGCCCTATAGTCATAGAAGTGTCGATGAACATGTCTTATTTAAAACTTTAGGGAGCAAGGGAATGAAGTTATAAATCTTAAGTTTTACTTTTTGTTGTGACTATACTGACTTCACATACCACAACCATGGCTCTCACAGATCTGTGTGTATGTATCTAAAATGGACATGAATGTTCCTTCACCACCTTCAGCTCTGTTCCATACATTTATTAAGTTTTTTTTTATGTATTTGCTTTTAACTTGCACAGAATATTTTTGCAATATTTTGTTACTCAATAAAATTCTGTTGTTTGGAAAATAATTAATCTTTATTCATTCCCAACATATGCTGCAGAATGCCTAGCAGTACTGAAAGCAGCCTCTGATTAATTATTATAGGATCCATAACAAATACAATCATAAATGTACATAATAAAAATTAATAGATGCCTTGATACTGTTATATTCATAGATATGCACCACGAACCACACAATTCCTAACAAGTCATCAAACCGCAGGGACAGGTAGAGCACAATACACCACAATGAATTACTGTAACTCACTGTTAAAGGGCTCTTTCAAAGCCTCCCCAACCAAATATAGCTCTTCTAGTAGCCCTTGTATCTGGCTGCTCAAACTCAGCAGACAGCCACTCCACCTCCACCCAGGTGGCACTTTTCCCCTTTGCGTCACAGATATTATGCAGGACACAGCAGGCAGCTAGAACCATTGGGATGTTTTTTTTTCACTGAGATTCAATCTTAAACAATGTAAGGATTTCTTCAGTTTGCTGAAAGTGCATTTAACTGTCATTCTGCATTTGCTGAGCCAGTAGTTAAATCTTTACTTGGTGCTGTCAGGGTGGCTGTGGTACTGCTTCGTGAGCCAGGGCACCGAGGGGTAGGCTGGCTCCCCCAGGTTTGCTATTAACATTTCAACATTGCCAATGGTAATCCACTGGTCGGGAAAGCGAGTCCCTGCTTGGTAGCTTTCTGAGCAGTCCTGTGTTCTTAAACATGTGAGCGTCATGCACCATCCCATACTGACCAATATTGATGCTGGTGAAGCATCCCTGGTGATCCACCAACGCTTGCATAACCATAGAAAAGTAGCCCTTCCTGTTGATGGCACTCTGTGGCAAGGTGGTGTGGTACCAAAATAAGGATATGAGTGCCATCTATTGCCCTATTGCAATTCAGGAACTCCACTGCAGCAAAGCCATCTACTCTGTCCTGCACGTTGCTGAGAATCTCAATCCTATGGATCAGGAGATGAATTCTGGCCCTGCACACTTGCATGACACTGACCCCCATGTGGATTTTCCAACTCCAAAACGATTTCCCACTGACTGGTAGCAATCCAGTGTTGCAAGTTTCAACAGTGGGATTTTCAGTCGCTTCTCCACTGTCACTCTCATTCTGATGTCCTTGTGCGGGAGGGCTGGAGTGAGCTTGGCACATGCATCCAGGAGTGTGGCTTTACACATCAGAAAGTTCAAAGCCTGTATTATGATGCAATCCCACCAGTCAATGCTTGCTTCTTGGGCCCAGAAGCAGCACTCTACCACCTGCTGTTGCTCCGGAAACACCACCGCCAACTTTGAATTGATTGGTTCTCCCTATGTCCCACAGCCATCTGTCTTCCATGCAATTGTCATGTTCCGCCCCGCCCCCCCAGTTCTGTTGTTCTTGCAGCTCTGCAAATACTAGAGGATCATGCATCTTGTGCTTGCAATGTTCGTGACATTAATGCAGAGCTGTGCAGGCTCTACGCTTCCATCATAGATGGCCGACAGCAAGCATGGTCATGCAGGTGTTTGGGATTTTTAAAAAAGAGGGAAAAATCATTGGATATAGATGACATTTTGGGATGGTGAAAGTTGCATGCTGGGAAACTGACCCCTTGCTCCCGGTCACCGTGTGACTCGTTTCTGCCCCACCATGCATTGCCAAAACTTCCCAAAAGAGACTGTGCTGAATGGTGCTGAATTGCATGCTTAGATATGTATCCATGCAGTGCACTGTTCATCGACACAAGCACTCCTGGTGAGTGCACACAGTGTTGATACGAGGAGTTAAGTATGCACATGCACAAGTGATATACTAACAGCAGCGATTTTAAGCTGATGTAACTTGTGGTGGCAAAAATTTCTAGTGTATGCATGCCCAAAGATTATTCTACTTTTTTTTTAAACATTTTAATTGGATGGCATAGTTTCCCCTCACTTTTTCTAATATGCTTGGTTTTACTTAAGGTTCTTGCGGCCTATGAATATGTTTCGGAATATTCCACTATGAGTTGTCCCAGGTGAGGTAAATGATCATTAAGCTCCAGACCGCCCCCCAACTCTGAGGCCAAAGCCCCATTCAGGCCTCAGTCAGAGGCCTGGATTAGAATCCTTTCTCCATAGGTGCTGTTGATGCTCATACTGCAACTCACATGATGCATGGGAAAAGCAATTTGAGGAGCAAAGGTGACCTCATCTGATAGTTGTATTTGTGGGAGGGGGCTATACAAATCGAGAACATCGAACAAGCCTATACTTGAAAAGGCTGATGGTGCAAGCATCTGCCACACTAGTAACACAACTTATTAGCATACATGAGTGCTTCGAGTGGCGCATAAAGGTTGCGAGCTCTAGCAATTGCACCCATCCAGAGTAAGATTCTGTACCACTGTATTGTGCATCATTACTGTAATGCTAGTTTAGACAGAAATGGCTGCCCTTATAGTGGCATAATTGCAATCAGTCCTCCAAACACAGTGACACAATGCTGCTCGAGTCCCTTCAGTTACCAGTCTGTGCAATTTCTTGTACATTGCTGATTACTTTCTTGGGAGCTACTGCTGTCTCTTAATTGTCCATACATGGAGTTTTCTGATGTACAAAGTGCAATGCTGAAATAGTAAGGTTCCTGTTTCAGAAACAAAAATGTCATGCAATGCAAAGACCATTTAATTTTACAAAATATCTCTTGTACATTAAAAACGTATACTGTTCCCATTTTCAAAAAGAAATTGGTAGGGCACTTCTCCAGAGGTGATTGCTGCTCCCATAAAGACCTGTTCAAGGACCTGTGGTATTAGTATCAGCAATGCAATAGTACTGCAGTGACTAGAGAGAGAAATGTATGTGGGCATGTTAAATAGGTTTATATAAACCAGGTCAGTAAGTGTGTATCTGAGGCACTGCTGCGAGTTACAATAATTCCTTGTAAAAGTACAATTCTGTAACACAATCAGGATGTACGATTTGATAGGCTTTGTCCAATTCCTAAAGGACTCGTCAGTCTGCCACTGCAACTGATACCCGTATTGGAAGTCTCAGCAAGAAGTGAGGTTTGAATGGACATAGAAACTAAGCTACCCTCTCGCTCCTAAAGGTGGTTCTCTAGCTTCGTAATGAGATACATTGGCAAAGCCACATGGAGAAGCCTAAACTACTGTTAGCTGGGCTGTAACTATTGTTATGAACTGTGTAAAACCTTGTTCAAACTGTGAATGAGCAAATGAGCACTTAATTTAAGATAATTGTAAGAGACAGGTAGGGGGCCACATCTGAAAAAAGGCCTATTAGGCTATGTGTACACATCAAAGAAAAACTGGGGCACTGAATCTTGGAGCCAGGGTCAATTGACTTGGGCTCATGAACTGCAGGGCTAAAAAAAGCAATGTAGACGTTCCCACTCAGACTGAAGCCTGGGCTCTGAAATCTGCTGAGGGTGATGGGTGTCTGAGCCCAAGCGCCAACCTGAGTGGGAATATCTACACGGCTGTGGGGCGCTAAAAACAGCAAAGCCCAATTCAATTGAGCTGGGCTCTGAGAGTTGGTGCTACAGGTTTTTCTTTGCAATGTAGACATGCCTTTAGAGTCTGCCCAGAAACTCACCCATAGCCACAGGGCATTGTGAATAGCGGGCGTGTGAAGGGGCAGGGTTTGAGAAAACACAAACTGAGAACAGAACAGAGATAGGCAAGAAGGCCAAGCAGTAGCCTGTATGCACAGTGACCCTGGGAAAGCTAGACAGCACTTTGGGTCTGATGTTGGCAACAGAGGCTTGGGGTTTGTGAGCTAAGAAACTGCTGCTTTTGTTCTTGATTCCTCCTGCATTCGGAGGAGCAGGATTTTTTTGCATTCCTTGTAAATAAGATTTTGTCAAAGAAAATACCAGATGCTTTCAATTTCTACTTCTATCTAGAACATACCTAGGGCCCTGAATGTTGAGTAGCTTCTTTGGGTCAAAAAGTCCTCTATCTTCAGGACTGTAAATCCAGCACTTTTCACAAGCACTAAGTATCCTAGGAATTAAAATAACTGATTTGCTTTTAATATACCGGTATGTGTATTTTGACTGGTGATTTGGATTCATTTAGGTGTTGCCTGAGTAAGGGCTGCAGAAAAAGACCTCTGGTTTCTGCTTCCATTATTGATGTCTTACCTGTTCTGTTTCTCTCACCAGTGTTGTTAATAACAATACTTGTAGTGGAAGGGATTGCTGTGGCACAGAAGACACAAGGTACAGTATTGACAAGATTTTCTTTAAAAGAAATTTGTTTTTTTTGTAATTTTAAATAAAGTAAGCTGGGTAGATATGGTAAATCAGAAATGCTTTCTTGTTAGGATATTTCACTTATACTAATAGTACTTTGTAAGATTTACTTCTGTTTTTATATATATATTTTTCCTTATTTATTGCATTTCATTTTGCCAAATTAATACAATTCTTATTGCAAATAAAAAATAGTTAACTGTAAATAACCAACTGTCTTTTTCATATCCAGATCAGTTCAGTCCTTATAGGTAGAACAAAACAGTGGAGAGCCCTCCATTTTCTGTGTGTGTCAGCAAGCCTTTCAAATTTTTTTAATATGCCAGCATTCCCCCAGAATGTTAGGAGACAGACCCCATTTGGGGATGGGGAAGAGCCAAATGGCTTAACAAGCCAGTTTCTCCCTTAGGTTGGAATAACCTGCATAGGAGAGAGAGAATTCCTTGACACTTGCAGAATTTCTTTTGACTTCTTCTGCAGATGAGACTAAGGGTCCCAACCCTCAGGCTCCAGAATTCTCCCAAGATTCTTGTGTATTTTGGAGGGACCCAGTAGAGACTGCTAGGAACTCCTTTCACCATGGAATCCCTCAAAAGCCCAGTTCTCCAGTGTATAAGGGAAAGTTGCATAAGTACATTATGGTTGCTTCCCCTGTGAGAATGGGAGAATCTAGCAGAAACCCAGTTGTCCTGCACTCCCCTTTCAAGCCTGCAGATCTTAAACTCCACCAAGGGATATCCACAGTGTTAAGATGGTAGAGAGGTGGCAGGGAAATCTGTGCCTGGAGGGCCCCCTCTGCATAGCTCCAGGGAGTGATCTGGTATGGTATCTTAATTTATCAAACCAATTAACCTCAGGGCAGGGATCATAGTTTTCTCTGTGTCTATACAGATCCCTGTTCCAGACTAAGGCCTCTCGACACTAGTGCAATATTACTTCTACTTGTAATTATTAATTTATTATTAACACTGCCATGTTTAGCAATAACTATTTTAAATATTGTAATGAACCACATACTATAAATGAAGGTCTTAATTCAAGTGAATGTGCTTGAGTGCATTCCTGAATCAGGCCAACAGCAGTAACGTGAACAGAGAAATCAAGTGTCCAGTCCTGCTAAGCCTTGCCCTTGAACTTCAATGGGTCAAACTTGCATATGAATGGGGAAGAAAACTGAGTGGTAATGTTGAGTGGTTTTTTTGTTGTTGTTGTTTTTGTTTTTTTCTGTAGCAGTTTAGTGCACTGTAAAGGGGTATAGCAGTATTGCATGCCACAATGACTGACTTGAAAAGAAGAACGTACTCAAGATTCTAACTCGCATCACAGGTTCCCTACTACTCCTCAGTAGTAACTATGCAGATTTGAATTTCCAAAATAGTGGGCAGGATATGTCATTATAGTTTAATGTGCTTTTTACAGAAATAAAATCCCTTTGCTAAATAGGGACAGCTGGCTAGTATGATAAGAGGATCTGCAGGTAGCACCAGCTGTCTCTTCCGTCTGACAGTTAGTGCCACACCCTAAGGCCTGGTCCACACTAACCCCCCACTTCGGACTAAGGTATGCAAATTCAGCTACGTTATTAACGTAGCTGAATTCGAAGTATCTTAGTCCGAACTTACCGCGGGTCCAGACACTGCAGGCAGGCTCCCCCGTCGATGCCGCGTACTCCTCTCGCTGAGCTGGAGTACCGGCGCCAACAGCAAGCACTTCCGGGATCGATTTATCGCGTCTAGACAAGACGCGATAAATTGATCCCAGAAGATCGATCGCTTACATCCGGACCAGGAAGTAAGTATAGACGTACCCTAAGATATACTGTTCCAAGTGGATGGTTTTTGTTGTTAAATTCTCTCTACTTGTAGTATACAAGTGTGATTTTTCTTTTTAAAGGTGGTCAGAATATTGGAGTGAACCACGTACCATCTACCCAGTGTGACAACTGGGTTCGGACAAGCAATGGAGGCCATTTTGCTTCACCAAACTATCCTAATTTGTACCCACCAAACCAGGAGTGTATCTACATTTTAGAAGGTACTAACGTCCTCTTTCTCCTTTGGTGTATTGTATTCTTACTGTTGACAGTGTAGGAAGTGGAACTGTTCTGCCATTCTGTTTATATTAAGTAAAGTCACTTGGGCGATATTGGTAATATATTGATTTGCTTTTGCAGATGTTAGGCTGAGTAAGGAGGGGACACGTTTGGGCTGCAAAACAGTAACTACAAATTCCTGGAATACTTAACATTTATGAATTAACACAAAAAACCCTTATTTAGTGACTGTTAGGGATATATCAGGTCCCACCCGAATCCTTGAAAGCATAGAAATAACAAGTTTAAAGAAGTCTTCAGCTTTCCTCACCACTGTCCCATCATTTACAGTACTAATGCACTCCAAAAGGGGGACACTGCCATCTCCACCACTTCAAAAAGATCGTATCTATCCCCATCTTCGTCCAACTCCGTGTCACACAGAACCTCAGAGATGACCTCATGCTCGCCTGTATCAGCAGGTAGACACGCATCTGACTGTCCTGTAGCCTGTTCATTTGCAAACGTAGGGTGCTTCAGCGTGGCTGAGCTCACCATTAAGGTTATGTGTGACGGGCAAAAAAATCCCATTAACTAAAAAAATTTACTGCAGTGAGAGTTTGCTGAGTAAGGACTGCAGGACTTTAGCCACACTGAACAGATTCCTCTCCTAGGGATTCATATAAAACCAGTTAAGTCCATAGAAGGACCCCCACACACCCTCACACTGACTTCACTAGAGGCCTGAGGACAATCTCACTGATGAAACTAAGTATTCAGGTGCCATTGCAAGTCTTCTTTACAATATCCTGTGGTGAGTTTTCAGTTTCAGTGGTGTCTTATCCGTGTATGCTTGCTATATAGTGTTTGGTTTTCTCTTGTATGCATTTATGGTCCTTTGTGTCTTATTTATGACTGAATATACTTTGAGGCAGATATTCTGCCATGCTCTGATCCCTTTGCCCTGTGCAGGCCATGTGGAATGTGCTGAGACTGGCCACAGACTCCTACCTGGAAATTTCCCTGGCATGAGGGAGCTGGTTCCTCTGCCTCCCTCCCTACAGCCCCCAGTGCAAGGATGTGGAGGGGGCATGGCCGAGTACAATGCCCTCTAGCAATTTCCAGATGGTATATAGTCCCTTAGGTGTCACTGCGAGCTGGTAGATGTTAGAGCAGCTCCATGCTTCTCTACTCCACAAGTCAAAGTCCAAAAGATTAATTTGGTACAGTGTATACCTGGTGTGACTTGAGGTGCCTAGGGTAGTTCACAATGAAAATGCCCAGGGCAGGCAGCAAAAAGGAGAGTAGATTCTCCCAAAATTGGTGAATCTAACTACAATGTTAACCACCAACCAGTCACACACTGTGCTCCTGATCCATCACGCTGGTTATCAAGAAGCTTTAATAAAAAAAAAAAAAGGAAATCACACAGCCCCCTTTATTGCATCCCAGTCTCTGGCTTCCAGCCAGCAAATCGGTCCAGTAAAGTGAGAAGTTATTTAAAACTCTACTTACTATACAGAATGTTCTTCAGATCCCCAAAGGACCAGCCACATTGCCAGGTCACTACTAGTTTGGATCTTATCCAAAATACCACGCTGCTAGCCAGTCCTTTACTATCTAAAACTAAACATTTATTATAAAAGAAAGGAAAGAGGAGAGTTGTTAAATGATGATGAAAGCAATCAGATACATACATATGACTTCATGCCTGATGAAGGGCCTGATTCAAAGTCCACTGAAGTCAGAGACTCCCATTGCCTCCAGTGGGGTTTAGATCAAGTTCCTGGGTGTCGAACTTTAGACACCCATGTTTGAATAATGAATGTGTATATGCATCCTGGTGTATATTGTAGGTGCTATTTAAACTCTCAGTTAAGATTCAGTTATGAAAAGCCTATTGAGAGTTACCTTCCACTCGTGTAGTTGAAGAGTTTGGAAAACAGTGAATTTGAAGAAATCTGGACTTCATTTTTAGAAACATTTGACTAATGAACACCAAGAACTCAGCCATCAGTCAAGACCTCCTTTTCCCCTCCCCCCAATCTTTTTCCCCTTTCTCTCCCTGCCTTGTCTGTGTTATCTCCCCATTAGTTCTAAAGTAATGACTGATTTGATTTTTGTAGCCTAATACTAAGGCTGTTACATATGCAAAAAACATTTTATGTTAGAGGTGGTAATTTTAAGCTTTTGGGGGGGGGGTAGAGGTCTTTGTGATGTTTGTATTAAAATAAATTAATAAAAACCTTACAGCTTACTGAAAAATGCAAAGGTTACCTGATTATGCAGAAGGCATTCTAATTATACAGGGTGTCAGAGTTACTGCAGTAAGCTTACTAGACTTCTTTTGAGAAGTGTCACATGCCTCTGATTTTTACACTTTTCGGGTTTTGTTGCTTCATTATTTCACTGCCTACTGTCAGTGTTTTACACATCTATTAATTTATACCATGTTGAAACTTTTATTGTGTTGTAGCTGCTCCACGCCAAAGAATTGAGTTGACCTTTGATGAACCTTATTACATAGAGCCCTCATTTGAATGTCGATTTGATCACCTTGAAGTTCGAGATGGGCCTTTTGGTTTTTCCCCTCTCATCGATCGTTACTGTGGTCTGAAAAGTCCTGCACTAATTAGATCAACAGGGAGGTTTATGTGGATAAAGTTTACTTCGGATGAGGAGCTAGAAGGAGAGGGATTTCAAGCAAAATACTCATTTATACCAGGTAAAGATACCTTATTAAAAAGCTTCTTACATTGTCTAGTTGTTGTTTTGCTCATACAGAATTTCAAACTAATATAAAGGTACAAATTCAAGATTTGAAAATATCATTTTGCAAACAGTTAGGGCTTAGTCCTGTGAGAGGCACAGTTCGTTCCCTCTACTCCCATGAACTCAGTTGCTGTGTCTATACTGGCAATTTGGAGCTGCATTTCATGATTGGTATAGTTGTGAGCAGGGTTAGATAACATGGTGGCTAAAAAATCTGAGCACTGTCAACCCTACAGCTTCTTCTGTTGCTAAAGCTGGGGAAACTAAACTGGTGGAAAATTACAGGCCCTAATTTTCAGAGTAAAGAGGTCAATGCTGAAGATTTTAGGGAATTCTCCCACAGTTGTTCTACAACAGCACAGCTCTATGGGTGCTGTAGTAGGAATGTTAGTGAAAACTAGCCACTGGCAATTTCCCCAACATATTATCTATGTTAGCGTGACATGATGTCAAAAATGTTAGCAGCCAGTCTACACTACCATTCCAACCTTTTTAGCACTGGTGCTAGAATAGCACTGAAGGAATGCGGAAGAATCCTCAGCATAGCCAGTCTGGGGGTGGAGGGTGCTCAACAACTCAGAGTGGTTGCACAGCACCTGACAGTTTTAGTCCTTTAGTCTGTGATGTGGACTACGCCTGTCTCGTGTCTTCTTTTTTAAAGAAATACTAAGTTGACTGAACTACTAATGTTTGAAAACTGGTTACTGAGAATATGTGGTAACTCTTTAAACATATTAAAATTGGCATCCATCAAATCACTATTGATTATTTCAGAGCTTCATAATAAGGACTGACACATTTTCATATTGACTCAAGAGTTATTAATATTTATTTGATCAAAAATCCGCATTTATAAGGATGCCTAAGTCGGTCCATTCGTCGTCCTTTCCAGAGCCGCCTTAATCTGTGAAGAACATATATGTATAATAGTGTAAATATGTATTTTTTTCCAAAGAGGGCAACATGCCTGAGGAAGGCATTAGTCTGTAGCCCTGTCTACACAAGCAATTGTAAATCATGGTAAGAACCTGGAAACAACAGAGCATAATTGCTGATTCACAGCTTGTATAGAGCCTATACTAACAACTCTAAGAATGGTAAGAGTTTTATTTACCACACAATCACTTTCCATACTAGCACAAAGCTAACCCAGTCTTGAGAACAGTCTCACAAACATAGTTTAAGAAACTGAACACGATAAAGAAATTTAAGATGGCTTAAAAGAGGGTAGCAAGGCTTGTATTTAAACTGGGTTGCTTTCTCCAATATGCATTGTATTAGTCAAAAGCTAGGCTTCTAAGCCAACATTTACATGGGGCGGGAATAGCAGGGAGGATATAGCATGGAAGGGCTGCCTCAGCAGCTGTAATGAGGCAGACAGACCATCTCTGAAGGTGCTAGGAGAAGCATGTTCCTACTTGTTGCCTCCTTTAATGTGTAGCCAGGGCCGGCACCAGCCCACCAAGCATGTGCTTGGGGCGGCACCGCGCTCCGGCCCAAGAGCGGGGCCGCGGCGGGCTCGCCGCCCTCCCCCCGGCGCTCTGGCCGTCGGGGAGAGCGGAGCCGCGGCGGGCTCGCCGCCCTCCCCCTGGCGCTCTGGCCGCCGGGGAGAGCGGGGCCCCGGCTGGGCTCGCCGCACTCCTCCCGGCGCTCCGGCCGGTCGGGGAGAGTGGGGCCCCGGCTGGGCTCGCCGCACTCCTCCCGGCGCTCCGGCCGGTTGGGGAGAGCGGGCCCGCAGCCAGGCTCGGCGCCCTCCCCTGCCACGCTCCCCATGGGGGGAGGGGGGGCGGCGGGAGGCTTTTTTGCCTGGGGCGGCAAAAAAGCCAGAGTCGGCCCTGTGTGTAGCATATATTCCCTCTGCAGGCATCAGACCAGTAGCTCAATCTGTGTGCAGTGGGCCATAGTCCCCTCCCCTTCCCTACGTATGTAAAGTGATAGGATTAGTGCAGCTTGCACTCAAGGAGCTCAAGGATATGGATTCTGCCGTCTCCCTGTGCCAATGCATTTTCCCTACACCCTCTTCGATCCTGAGCTGTGTGCCCCTGACTAGAGGCAAACAGAATCTGGTTCTAAATGTATCAACTAGGGTATAATCTCAAGCATGCAAAGCTGGAGGAAATGGCTTAATGGGCTAAGCATCAGCTTTTGAAATACCTAGATTCTCTGGAACCAGGGTTTCAAATCCTAAGAGTGTTGACTCAGCTCTTTGTTCTGCTGAGGCAGATTGAACACTGAGCAAGTTATGAAGCAGGGGAGGAATATTTTGATTGCAAGCTCATTTAAAAAAAAAAAACAACGGAGGTTATGTCTGCTCTGTGTGGATATTAAAGTTCCTATGGCACTTTTGGTGAGAGAGGATTTGATCCAATGTCCTTGTGCAGAATGCTCTTCTCCAGGTGGCTGTATTTTAGATACTGCACATATATAGTTATAAACACTTTTAGAATCCTTTGGGACCAAAAGCAATATATAAATGTCAGCTATTACTACAAATGTTGTATACACAGGTATAACTGCTTTATGTTCCCTCTCTTTCCCAGACATGCCCTTCATCTCCAGAATCATAGGAAAATATTCTACATTAGTACGAGTGTTTTAACAGAACTGTTTTCACTCTGCTATGGATTTGGTTTCTCATGCTGTTCCGATTCGCATGGGTCACTAACCCTTTGGGAACCATGTGGGATGTGCTAAAATGTTCCCGCAGGGGTTATATGGATGTGTGCGCCAAGCTACATTCCAAAGCAATTTAACCAATATGTCATTCTCAAAACCAAGTTAGCTTAGTGCTAGCAAGGCTCGGGCTTGTATTCTAAATCTGTCACATGTATATTTATTTTTGTGGTGGACTGTAATGACTGTGAAAGAACCATTATATTTTTGTCCTCATTCTTTTACATTTTCACAAGATGTTTAAATATTTTTAAGTATCAGTGACAATGAACAAAAATCAGAAAAAGAAATTAAGCCTCACAGAACACTTAAATGACACTAAGTACTTGACTTAAATTCAAAAGGAAGAGCAAATTCAGAAACTCTGACTTGCAGAGGTTTCCGTACAGTGAACATATGTGCCAGACTATATAGCTCAATGGGAGTGGGCTAAGGATGCAATTTTCTGATCTGTCTTGAGTATTTAAGTCAATCAGGATTTATGCATTTTTTTGTTTAACTGTAAATCCCTTTTATAGATAAAGGCCCGCACAAAGAGCCAAATTCTGCGCCTTGAGCTCAGTGGGACCAGGATTTGGTCCAAAATGGACATGCAGCCATTGGTGTTTGTGTATTGGAACATGGTATACAAAAATTCAGCTTTTGCCTGTGTAACCCATGCACATGTAACTTGCAAGGCTCACCTGTTGAGTTGTGTGTGGGGGAAAATACTAAACTGCTCATGAAAATGTGAGTGCTTGCACATGCAATGGCTGCATGCTCACTTTGGACCAAATCCTGGTCCTACTGAAGTGAAGAGCCAAATGCTGGAGCTTTCTGTTGCTCCTCTGCTGTGGACCTCTTCAGAAAAATCTGCTCTGAACTCCTTAGCAGTACCATTTCCAGACATGTATGATAGAACACCGTTCAAGAGAAAACTAGGGCTAAATTATGCCTTTAGATGCATGTCTGTGGCTATCAGTGACATCAATGGGAGGCATGTGTGTATCCAAGGGAAAATCTTGGTCCTTGTTGCTTGTTTACCCTTTGTTGTAATGTTCATGAGTACTCTACTAATTCCAAAACTTTGATCTTGCTGCATCAAATTGCACTAGTAAACCTCTTCCACCTGATGCAGTACAGAGCTACTTATATACCCCTTGATCCTGCAATCTGATGTGCACAGGTAGATCTCTGTGCCCTTGTGGAGTTCTGTTGATTTTAGTGCAAGCCAGCACAGGTGCAGGGATCCATCAGTGCAGATCAGGTTGCAGGATTGGGTGGGAATAAAAAACTAAAAGGAAATTCTAGTGTGGTGTTAACCACCTCCATTATATTACAAATATTCAACCATCTTAGTGAGGTACAGTCACTTATCATGGAATCAAGCATCATGGTAACAAGAGGATCACCTCTCTCACATTGATTCAGTATCTGTTCTAGCACTTCGTATTTTGTGGTGTGTTAGGAAATAGATTGTCTCTAGATTGTGTTAAACCTTGAAGTGACTCTTCACTGCCAGTCCCAATGATTTGTGATTTCTTCTGTTGCAGATCCAGACTTCACTTACCTAGGAGGTATTTTAAATCCCATCCCAGGTCTAGTATTACAATACCAATTTATTTGTACAAGAAATTTTTAATCAATCTCATCTTGCATTTGACAGCGAGTTGTATGTTCTTTCTAGACTGCCAATTTGAGCTTTCAGGAGCTGATGGAATAGTACGTTCCAGTCAAGTAGAACAAGAAGAGAAAACAAAACCTGGACAAGCAATTGACTGCATATGGACAATTAAGGCAACTCCAAATGCTAAGGCAAGTCCATTTGTATCATTCAATATATAATGGGCTTCTAGCCCATTAGTAATAGGCAATGGTCATTAGTAATTATTTACAAAATGTCTCACTTTCATTTAAATTAATTAGCTATTGGCAGTTGAGGAAATTAAGATACATTTATTTTAAAAACAAGTATCTAACTGCAGGTCCCTGGTGATGCAGCTATTTTTCCCTGACCTGAAATTTATAATGTTTAGGCACTTTGATAATTTTATGGGCCACATGTTTAAATGGCCTGCAACTTGGCCTCAAGTTTAATGAGTACAGTTAGCTGCAGACAAAGGGTAGTCTTAGGTAATGTCTGTTACCTGATACGTGAGCAAAATATAGATTACTACATATGAGTGTGTCACTGAAGTTTTACCATCTTATGCATTGACCAAGTAACTGTGTTTCTGAGATTCTTCTTGGAGTATGTGTCAGTGTAGGTGTACTTGTGCCTAATGCACACAAGACTGGATTCTTTCAATAGCCTTGGCAGTCAGGGTCGAGCACATCCCCTGTGCCTCCTTGTCCTCCCATAAGAGGGCATAAAGAGTGGAGTGGCTGTGATCCTCCCTCAGCTCTCGAAGTCAACATGGCAGCGAGACAGAAGTGTCCAAGCTGCAATTCTCTAAAGAAGAAATCTTACCTTCACACTCTCCAAACATGGAAGGAGATTTATATAAATAAAAATGCTAATCCTCCTGTGCAGTGGGGCAAAGTGCGTTGCACCATAGTGGACTTCAAACCCTGGATCCTACGACTGATTGATCTCCGTCAAGGTCGATGTCTTTTGCATAGAGGTGATCCACCTTTTCTTCCAGGGCTTATAAATGCAGGCACACTTGGCTGAAGCTACAGCTGCTAGATCAGTCCATGAGGGTCATTTTGAGCCCACAGAATGCTCCTCTCATCACCTCACTCAGAAGACTGTCTGTCTTCCTTGTGGCTACTGCTTCAGCCAGCAGAGTAAGTGAGCTTCAGGCTGCAATATTTCAGAGAGAAATAGTGCTACTAATTCATTCAAAGCAAATCAACCAGCCTACCTCTCTTCCCAAAACCACACTCCACGCGCTAGATGTATCCAGGACTTTGCTTTAGTCCTGTCAATGTAATGAAGCAGTCAGACTGTTGTCCTATCTATCTTTCTGGCTATGGCCAAGGTAATCTCATCAAAATGACTTTCACCGAATTAACTATTTTAAATCTCACTGTTACACAGTTGGTGTACCTCACCCACCAAACATCAGGGCTCACTCCTCCTGCTTCAGAAATGTATCCGTATCAGAAATTTATCTGCAAAGCAGTGATGTGGAGTAAACCACTGACCTTTGTGAAATGTTAGAGCTGGGATTTAGCTGCTAGGTCAGATGCCAAGTTCAGGAGAGTAGTACACAATTTACTGTTCAATGGATGCAACAGGAACTCCATCCTGAGGGGAATGGGGATACTGCTTACTAGTCACTTACAGTGGGGTCCAAGCTCTCTCATACTCTAAGAAGAAAGAACAGTTACTTACCCTACAGTAACTATGGTTCTTCGAGATAATGTAGGCAGTGTGGATCCCCTGACACTCCCTCCATCCTCACTTCTAAAGAATCCCATCTCAAGCACACCTACTGTGGGATCCACACTGACTACATCTTGAAGAACTACAGTTCCTACAGGGTAAGTAATGGCTGTTTATGCTGCATGTCTACGTATGATAGGATAAAAAATAGCATGATGCAAGGAAAAAAAAGTAGGGAAGAAGTAAATATTCTTCAGTAGAGCTGATCAGAAAATGGGTACTGTCTTCCCCTGCCCCCTCTTCCCCCCCCCCAACAAAAAAATTGACTTGGTATTTCAACCAACTTTTTTTTTGGCTGAAACCTTTAGCAAAACCTCAATTTTCCACAGAAAGCAGACACTTTAATTTCGTTGAAAAATCAGTTTAGACAGAAAACTTTCCAACAGCTCTGGTTCTCCAGCTTCCCAAATAGTACCAAAAATAACTACCTAAACCATAAGAATAATAGGGGACAAAAGAGTAAGGTAACTACAGCAGAATAAAATAACTTTATTACATGTTTTGAGGAAGTAACTCATAACTCCCAAGAGCTCTATCCTAGAGTGAGTTATAGAAATTGTCCTTCTAGAAATGATTTGCAAAAATCATTTTTTCTCTTTTGTTTTCTATTTGGAGTACTCCATGCCTAAATTATTTTAATAAATATTATTGAATGTTGCTTAAAGCGAGTTCTGTACTTGAGTGGCTCTTGAGATTAGATTCTTCCTAAATGATTTGAGGTTTACACTTATTTTTAAACTGTCATGCTAAAGTTGGTCTCCTGAGTTCTGGTTTTGACAGGATTATGACATTGAACAGTTGTATGGAGCAGCCTCGGGTGTTTTGTCCTTTTATGAGAAAGAAAGAAAAGTTTTCCATTTCCCAAATTTGATTTTTTTTTTTTTTTTTATAATAAAAATAAATCTGAAAATTGACAGTCATTGAAGACTTAAAAAAAAAAGCCTGTGCATCATTGAAATTCTGAAGATAATCTTCAGGGATTCAGAAAAGTTCTATAATATATTAATATTCTAATGAGGAAGCCTCTGATACTATTACCTTCTCTGTGGGCAGCAGAAATCCTAAAAATTCTTTTCGGTAGGCATAGAAACCAGATGCATCTTTTACTGAGCAGAAACTTTTTGGAAAAATTGTGCCCTTGATTTGTGTACACAGCATAGAGTAAGCGTGCAATATGAGTGCTAGATTGAGTATTAATGTTTTATTCCTTCCGTTATAGTTCCACAGCAGGAATAAAAATCCAATTAAGCACTAGTTAGAGTTATATATTTCAGGCTAAATGCTGAGCACCTGCAGCTCTCTCTGACTTCAGGGGAATATGAAGTCAACAAAAGCTACCGCTGCTGTAATAATGGGGGACAGTGAGGAGAGACGACACACACTCACCTAAATGGTACTTTACAATTTGCAATAATCACAGACTGACGCAGGTTACAGTGAAAAAGTTTGATATAAACTACTAGAGGAAGTATTTTCTCAGATGAAGGGGAAAAAATAATATGGGACAGACTGGCTTTCAAATATGGTGCGTAAGGGGCATAGTACCAGCATCTTGCCTGTGGAGAACATTAGGAGGTGCAATGGCTTGGGAGTACTAACGGTGCTAGGGGGAATATGGACTACCCTGCCACCCATTAAGTTGCCTGTGGGCCTTGCTACTGTGTAGACATACCCTAGTGCACTGCAATAAGACATCTGCAGCTGGCCGGTGTCAGCTGACTCAGGTTGTAGGGCTATAAAATTGCAGCGAAGACAGCAGAGACCCAGAGCCCAGGCTGCAGCCCAAGCCTGGACATCTGCATTGCAATTTTATAGCTCCAAACCCAAGTCAGCAGACACAGGCCAGCCGCTGGTGATTTATTGTAGTGTAGACATACCCTAAAAGTTTCGTAGTGCACTTTTTGACATACTGCTGTTTCAAACAAACAGCAGTATGTGAAAGCATGCTACAGAACTTTTAGTGCCCAGTGGCAGGGTCTACACAACAACTTAGTGAATGGCAAGCTAGTGTCCTGTACATTCATACCCTGGTTTGCTGCTCACTAGGTCTCTGTGCAGATAAGTGCTTAGTATGGTATAAGGATGAAGTTTTTAAAAGCTCTAAATAACTAAGGAGCACAAGTCCCACTGACTCTTACTAGTCCCTTATTTTCTTTTGAAAATTCCCCCCCACCTTCCAATATTGTCATTCTGATGTGAAAATTTAAAACATTGGTATAAAAATATAAACCAGATCTTCCCCCCCCCCTTTTTTTAACTTACAAAATCATGTCACATTCATTTCAGGAAAAATAAGAATTTTTCTACCAGATCAAAGCATTGATCTGAGTCGAGTAATTTGTCACAGTAGCCGGTATCAAAAGACTTAGAGAAAGGTGACAACCTTAAGTGGGCAGTTCTGGAATAGCTTACCCATATGAGCAGCTTATTTCTAACCCTGCATCAATTAGAAGTTAGCGCATGCCCAGAAATCTCCTTAGTTGTTCCCTTTATTCCTTGCAAGTTCAGCAAATCTACAACGTCTCACAGGTGTCTGCTGCAGATGCATCTGAAGGCAAATAGTTTAAATTTGTCTATTTGCACTTCAAATTCCACCTTAGTCTTCCTAAATTCCTTATTATGTATGGTCTGCTGTAATATATGGTCCTCAGTCTTGTCTTTGTTTGGGCTGGATTTCCAGCCTCTGAGGGATACCAGTTTGACTCACATAACCTCTTGAATCTTACCCTTTAACTCTGTTTGTTTTTTACATTCCTGCTTCTATTTAGGTTGTTTGCGCCTTCTGTGACTGATTCATTTAATAGTCTCCATGCAGAGTTAAAGGACTCTTGTTTCCTTATTTTTGACTTTAAGACTCAAATAGATTTCTCTGGTTGTTTTTTTGAAATCCATCTTTCTAAAGTTCAGAAACCCGCTACAGGAAAAAGCTTTTTCCCAAAATTCTGAAAAATAAATCCTTGCATTCTTCCTGTATATTCCTTACATCTGTTCTAGAATGTGCTTAAGAGCAGCTCTCTTCAGCCTGCACCATTTTGTATTACGGGCTTTGCTTTTCTTGTAAGCTTAGGGAGAGAACAAGTTAGTCAATTTTCATTGGAAAGTTCTTGTCATTTATTGATACTTAGGATAAAAGTAATTGCAAATAATAATCCAGAATTATGTCATTTTGTGAAGGAATCACTGGTTATGAAACTGTAAGCATACAACACAAACGTTTGTGAACTGGGAGTTCCATGCCTATATAAGGAGGACCCTGTAATCAGGGTCCACTGGGAGGTCTAAGAGAGAAACTCTGTCCTGTTTTATTACTAAGGCATTCTGTTTTACTTTTCTTAGAGGTTGTGGGGTTTTGTTTTAAACAGATTTATTTGAGATTCCTGGACTACCAAATGGAGCACTCAAACGAATGCAAGAGAAACTTTGTAGCTGTATATGATGGAAGCAGTTCCATTGAAAACCTGAAGGCAAAGTTTTGCAGCACAGTAGCAAACGATGTGATGCTGCAGACTGGAACAGGAGTGGTACGGATGTGGGCAGATGAGGGTAGCAGACTCAGCAGATTCAGAATGCTGTTCACTTCATTTGTCGATCGTAAGTACATCCTCAGTTATCTTCTTCGTAGCCAACCGCTGAATGTATTTAAGAAAAACCATCAGCTTTGTGTTATGAGCACCAGGCATAACAAAAAATGTTGATTCTCAATTCACACCGAGGGAAACACAGTACTCACTTTATTATTGTTCATGGGTACTGTTCCTGGGGGAAAATTCTCTCATAAAGGCCTGTCTTACATTTGAACCAAGTAATAGCCAGTCTCAGACACTAAGCCTTTTCTTGCAAGGGTCCATAGCCAGGGTCCTGCTCTTCTCCAGCATCTGTTAATTTAAATCTAGATTCCCCCTGCTGTGTCACCTGTGAAGCAAAGTTCTCTTGGATGGGGAGGCAGTCTTTGAGTGAGTTAGGTCCCAATCTGTTAAGGACTCCATAGGTTAAGACCAGGACTGTGAATGCTGTTCTGAGATTCTGTATGGATTGCATATAAAAGATTTAATGATGATGCTCGCAAGGCTTATGATTTAAGGTGTTTTAAAAGGATGTTTTAGGTGGGACTACATTTAATAGTAGGTTAATATACTACCCTGCATACTTATTCTGCATACTTTACTCCTAATCTGGCTGAGTTTCATAGCCTCAATCTGTTCCCATGTGGACACACATCCATATCACACCAGATAATTTGAAACAGTTGTCAGGCTCACTACAAGAGAAGCCAGAACTTGGAACTGGAGAGCAGGCATGAGGTATGTTGGAAGAGCAGTATAGGAAACCTAGCGCAGAGTTTGCTTATTGCATACCTGCCATCTGACTCTAGTACAATCATTCTTGCGCTTTTCTTAATGTTAAGTTTCCAATGAATGTGACCTGAATAATAGATATTGTACAGGTTTGGTTGTAAAAAGAGCAAAACTAATTGGCAATGGTGCTGTTTCTTTGCCTCATCCTGGAAGTGATGCTACTCAACACCTTGCAGGGTTGGACTTTTTTTAAAGTCCAAATTATCTGTTTTATAGTGTATTTTATTGTTGTTTCATAAAACAGAGTTCAAGATATACACTCAGATAAAAATGTACTTGCCATGAAATAATCCTTCTGTTGTGATGGTGATTTTTAAGAGGAATATGATATTGCTACTTTATGGATATGACATTAAGAAACAACTACAGATATTCCAGAAACTTGTCTAGGGTTTTAATACGCTTTTCACACTTTAACGTTCCTTTTCTGCAACTACCACTTTTAGGTACTGGTTGCTAACCAAAATTACAAAAGCTGTTTTGCTTTCTTCAGTTCAGTTCCTCAGCTACAATGATGAATAATAATGGTTGTTCTGGTGAGGCCAGGCTCTAGCTTTGAATTTAGAAGATTCGTTTCGACGGGTCAAACGATCAGTTCATATTATAAATATTGATTTTTTTTCTTTCCATTCTTGTTTCCCCAACAAGCTGAAGTGATGAACAGGTATAAAGATATCTGCTTTTTCAAAGAAAGGAGTCTAACTAATCAAAAAATCATTGCCAAAAGCAAGTCTGTAAAGATATGTACAGTTGTTCTTGCCTATCTCCCAGCTTGAGGTTTGATACCTAAGGAAAAGGAGAAAGATAATGAGTTGATTTAAAAAAAAGCCAATGAAACAGAGCATTTCATGTACACCTTTACCCCGACATAACACTAATTCGGATACAACGCAGTTTCACCTATAACGCAGTAAGATTTTTTTGGCTCCCGAGGACAGCGTTATATGGGGGTAGAGGTGTATATTAAAATATCCTTGTTATAAGCAAACTTCAGTGCTCAGAATAGTGAAATTATGTGCTTATTCTTTTTTCAGATCATTGAGCACTCTTTTCTCTTTTACCTTGTTACTGATTTGTAATTGTATGAATCCATCCCTGAAAACAATCAATATTTCTGAAGAGGTTTACATAAATGAACTAATTCTGCATGACATATTCAGTTCACGCATACCCATTGCAGACTGCAGATGTGACTGAAATAGCATAACTCAGATAAAGGGGATGAGATAATAGAATGTGTTTTGGTTTTTCCCCGATACAATATATGAACACAACTACCTATATTAAAAGAACCTTATTAAGTTTGCAAAGTCAAGCACTCAAAAATAAGGAAATGCCAGAATTAAGGTTGCCTTAATTTAGCCTTGTTGTGTATATGTGTTATGATCTTAAGTGATTACATACTATTTTTTTTTTCCACAGGTGCCCTGACTTATTCAGGGCACTGAATGGATGCTGCTCACTTAATGATCATATTTCAATGTGTGGCCCTAAGCCTTATTACTGTAGTTTATTTCCTCATGGACTCTTCCAAAGTGCTCACCACTCTAGTGTCTGAGTACTTCAAATATTGATCTTCATAACATCTCTGTGAAGTGAAGATATACCATGATTCACATTTTACAGATTGGGAGCTGAGGTACTAAGAGATCAAGGTCAAAAGTATCCACTAAGTCTGGGTGCCTAATGTGAAATGCCTAGGACCAGAGTACTTTGTATTCAGGTACAGCTCCCATTGACTTCAGGTGCAGTTGTGAATGAGCACCACTTCTGTGAATCAGGCCCCAGGGTCCCAAGTGAGGCATCCAGCAAATGAGGAATTCTTAATCCGTGACCCCCCTGTGAACAATTCTGGCTTACATGACATGTACAACATCACATAGGAACTTTGTGTGACAGAGGCAGGGATCAAATCACAGTCCACCAGAGTGGCCTTCAGTTGCCTTAACCATGACACCCTCCTTTCTTTTCCAGCAATGCCCTCTCATTCACTACATACCTTCCAACTTCTTGAACAAATGAGAAAGAGGGTCCTACAAAAAAAAAGCTTTTACAACACAACCCTGATTCAACCCCAGAGCAGGGGTCCTGTGGGGAAAAAAGAGTAGGTGATCATTTAGTGAAAGACTGTATTGTGTCCAGGAAACCTTAAATCTGGCATTTCCTAACTTTTGAGTGTTTGCTTTTGCAAGCTGAATAACATTCTTCAATGTAGTTTTGAGTAGGAGTATTCTTATGGCTCTCTGCTCTCAGTTCCAGTGCCTGGCTGCTTCCAAGCCTGGACCAGCGATTACCAGGAAAGTCCAGCTTTACCGCTGTAGCCTTGGACTGAAGCATCCTCAGTCATTCTTGTGGGGATGGTGCATATGCAGTCCAATCAACCACTAGGAGCTGGGAGCATGCTCAGTAGGGACAGAACAGTTAGAAACTTCAGCTGCTAACAATCTACAGCTCTACTGAGCATGTAGGAAGTGGGTTTGTTCTTTTTTTGTTTTTCAAAACCTATCAGGTGGCCAGATTTTCCCAGGGATTGCAAAAGTCACATCCCTGACACAAGGCCACCACCAAAAAACTTCAGGACCCTATTCCAAAGCATTTGAATGCTGGAGCATTTCAAAGGAAAAAAACCTCAATAATTTAACAGACAAATTATATTTTTTACATAGTCGTCTTCTTGGAAACAGCTGAACCATTTTGGCTGACATTTCAAAAAATTCAGCTTGAGGCAGACACCCAGCATGGAAAATTTCAGCTCAGATGGTTGGGTTTTGCACAGTTACATGCTACTGAAAACAGAGTCCTATAATGGGAAATGTTGAGCAACCTGAATAGGTGGCATTAGCAGTATCACGTATAATACTTGGCTATTAGAAGACAGAATACTGTATATTGATGGGGCCAGTTGGTCCTTGCCCCTTGTGCAGCAAAGAGAGGTTGCAAGGAGCCTTCTAATCCCTGCCCCCTCCTTGACAAGTTTCCAAATATGGGGAGGGGCGGAGTGCAGCCCATGTGTTCCATCCAGGCAGATGTGAGACTACAAACCTTCTCCTTTTGGAATGGAAGAGGCAACAGAGAGAAGTCAAAGCCTTGCTCCTTCTCCGTACCAGTCCACGAAGCTGGGTGGGTGTAGAAAAACTCTCCTAAACATCAGGTAGCTAAGGGAGAGACTGTGATTTCGGGGGCATAATTCTTTTAGTTCCCCAAGAGGTGGGATGGCTGTATACCACCCCAGTCACTAAACAGCACAATCTGGGCTTAAGTTTGTGAAAGGAACAGAAGGCATTTTCATTAGAATATTCAGCGAACAAGCAACTATACAGAGAGACGACATCCTCTCTTAGTAAAGCACAGTTAAACTACCTGAAGATAGATGAACACTGAATAGCATTTAGTTATGCTCGTTATCTACGATAGACAACATTCTGACACAAGAATCAATGTACCATTGTACCAAGTATTAACACTCCATGTACATGGAGATAATGATACTATTACCTTTGTAAAGCCCTTTAAGATCTTCAGATTAAAAAATGCTATGTAAGAGCCAGGTGTTATTATGATGATGGTGTATTATAGCTAGACCATGGGTTCTCAAACTGAGTCATGACCCCTCAGGGGGTTGTGAGGTTATTACATGGGATGTCGCTGAAGTGGGGCTGTCAGACTACACCCCAAGCCCGGCTTCACCTCCAGCATTTATAATGGTGCTAAATATTTAAATAAGTGTTTTTAATGTATAAGGGTGGGGGGTTGCACTCAGAGGCTTGCTGTGTGAAAGGGGTCACCAATACAAACTTTGAGAACTAGAAAGCTAGACCTAGGGCTCCTAGTTGATTCATAGCTACTTAAAAACTGAACATGTCATGAAATATCAATTTCATTTACAGGATGACCAGGACTTGGGGGATAAAGCAGACTCTTAGTTGCCCAATATCATTAGCGGAGTCTCCAGAAATTTTGGCCACATACATTAGGGCAGCTCTCTACTGTTGAGGAAAACGCCAAGGTCTTCAATGTCCACACCACCTCAGTTTTTAAATTCTCATTCAAAAGACTCTTCCCCTCCACCCCCTTCTCCATTTGCAGTAAACTACATGGTATTCAACTGATCTTCCTTGGAAGAATAAAGAGTTTAGTTTCTTTTGCCAGGAATCAAACTCTGTTCTTCATAATGTACATATTTCAAAACCAAAATGCTTTAAAAAAATCTAGGGATGGAAAAAGGAAAGAATGTTTGTTTAAAATTCATCATCCAGGTATATGTCAAATTTCATACCTTACAGTGAACCTCAAAATGACATGGCTGAGGGAAAGTATTACCAAAAAAAAGTTCAGTTTTCATCAAATTCCTGGTCTGATGCTATATCCCATGGTTAGTCTTCCCTCAAAAAGCACTCAGTTCTATCCAACAACTACTCTGTTTCTTTGGTGTTCCAGAAATTACATCTTGCAGGAGTAGGCTATCAATTTTATATCTCTTCTAAACTTAAAAAAAAATCTAGTCAGTTTTTCCATCCACATGTGGTCTCAGTCCAAGAAGCTTAATAGTAATCTGGATCTCCAACATTTCCACTCTAAGTGGCAGATTTTTTTCTCTTTATATATGCTACTTGAAATGCTGGATACGCACCCATTTCTCAGTCTGAATCACTTAAGGTCTTTTTCTGTTTGCGCTATTCAGTGCTTGGTGCTATCCAGTCTAACCTCCATGTTTCCAACCAGAACAGTAGCTGATCCAGTTTCATATTCATAAGTACTATAGTCGCATGAGTTTTATCCTCTGTCATTCCAGATGAAGGGCATGTAAGGTTGTGACTTGGACACCAGCATGAGAACAGGTTCACTTTCCAATAAAGGAGCAACTAGTTAAGTACAGTAGAACCTCAGAGTTACAAACCCCTTGGGAAAGGAGGTTGTTCTTTCAAAAGTTTACATTGACTTAATACAGCTGAAAATTGACTTAAGACAGCTTTGAAACTTAACTTTGCAGAAGTAAAGTGCTGCTTTTAACCATCTTAGTTTAAATGAAATAAGCATGGAAACCGTTTCCTTACCTTGTCAAATCTTTTTTTAAACTTTCCCTTTATATTTTTTTTAGTAGCTTATGTTTTAACACAGTACTGTACTGGCTTTTCGGGGGGGCGGGGAGGGTCTCTGCTGCTGCCTGATTGCATACTTCCAGCTCCAAATGAGGTGTGTGATTGACTGGTCAGTTCATAACTCTGGTGCTCTTAACTCTGAGGTTCTACTGTAGTTAAAGAAGCAGCCAGAGTTTGAGCAGGCAAAAACTTTGGAACCTTATTCTTCACTATTGGCACTTAAAATAAACGAAGGGCCAGATTTTCAAAAGAGCTCAGGATCCAGCATCTCCCATTGAGAACAAATTGGCCCTTATTTATGCACCTAAACGGGAACAGAGCTTTCTGGAAAATTTGGCCACTTATTTGGATGCTTAACTGTTGGGTGTTCAGCTCTTTTGCATATCTAGCTCAAAATCACTATACATTCAAACTCAATAGTAAAAAGAAATTAAATGGATAAATGGAAGTTGCTTTGAAAAGGCAATGCCTCAAATATTACCTTCCTCCTCTACTGCCTTAAGCCTCTCATTGTTAATTCATACAGTGCCTCTTCTCCACAATTTCCCATGAATTAATAATACTATAAAGCACTGTTCTTCAAAGGATCTCAAAGCACTTTCCAAGTATTAAAATTTTTGCAACACCCAGTCAAGGAAGGTGTGTAAAACAATCAATGATATTTAGAAGTATTGAAATTACTAAGATAAAAATTGGGTAACATGCATCTTCTAAGAAGTTCCTAAATTACGTATGACAAAAGCTTTGATTCAAAGAGTTGAGACTACAAACAGGATCCTCTATGGATCTATTTCTTTCCAATATAGAGGAACCAACTGATAACATGAAAATAAAGCTCAGAAGCAGTGCACATGAGCTTGTGGAATTCAGCACAGTAAGAAATGGGGTCACATGAAGCAGCAGTACAAAGACAGTTTTAAGGAAGGCAAATTTAGAGGGTTAAGAAATATAGGCTTAAAACCTCCATTAATTCTGCAGGCAAAACTCCAACTGAAGCAATTAGGGCCCAGGGGTTTAACTGAGGGAAGACATGGTAGAACTCTATCCCTTTCCCACTTGCCATCCTCTCTGTCACTCACCCCTTGGAGTCACGTCTGCATTTGTGAACCCCAGATGCTCAAGCATGAGTTATCTGGGAAATATGTAATAAACGGACATGTGAGCAAGACAAGCCACTACCTTCTCCTGGACAGAATTAGAACTTCTGAGCTGTACACCACTGTCCTTACATTAAAATCAATGCTGATATGTAACTGACTTCGAGCAATACAGAAATCTCTAGTATGTAAATACTACATTATTGATGTAGAAAAATGGAACACACAAACTGTATATTGGGTAGAATATCAAAAGCAATGTCCTAAAGCAGAAATAATATGCTATATATACTGAAAATGGATGCTTTGACACTGTTCTAATGTCAAGGGCATGAAATATGATAGAAATTTAAAATCCTCTTTAGAGAATGTATAGTTATTTTATTTCTTCAAATTTCTTATAAACAGCTGCCAGCTAAAGGCTGGTCTCCCTTGGACCCTCTATTATCTGCAATAAAAAGGGCCCATTCATGAGCAGGAGTTCACCTCTTTCACCATGAAGGTCCAAATGACCACTATACAGTATAGCAATAACCATCAAGTCACAGGTTACAGTGTTTACACTACTGTTGCCTACCTGACAGGCATTTCTAAATGTTTATAAAGCATTTTGAGATCATCAGAGGGAAGGCACTATAGAAGTGCTGAATGCTACTATTTATTATTATTACCACTGAATCTCCACTTTATCTATATAATGTATTTTTTTGTACTAGCTTCCCAGTTGCTTTTGGATTCTGTTCATTTAATCTACAAAGCCCTACAGGGCTTGAGGCCAAGTGACATCTCTCTTCATACGGACTGTCTCAATGGCTGGTAGCAGCAGGGATGTTCTGTTTGAAAATGCCAAGATTTGAATTCCTGAGAAGAGAGTTCTTAGGAAAGGGACCTCGAGTGGGGAACTCATTCCCTCCCAGTCTGCAGGAACTGGAATTTGACCTTCACTTAACAGCCTAGGTCTGGAAGTGCAGGAAGAAGGGTAGGAACTTCAGCTGCCTCAGACCTACACAGCATCTCCCTTTGATTTTTCATGTTTCAGAGCAGAGATTTGTCGTGTCTCATTCATCTGTAAAGCACGATGCACCTATGGTATTCTGTACAGGTAGGAAGTATACTCTTCAGGGAATAGGGTGACCAGATGTCCCAATTTTATAGGGACAGTCCTGATTTTTGGGTCTTTTTCTTATATAAGCTCCTATTACCCTCCACCCACTGTCTGGATTTTTCACACTTGCTGTCTGGTCACCCTATCAGGGAACAAACTGACTTCCTGTGAGTTTGGAAAGCATATGGCACATTTTGGGCACTACTGCAATCTAAATAATCAACAAGTAATTCAGAATGCAATATAATGCTATAAGATAGGCATTTAAGACAATAGAAGCTTTTTCCATCACGTGCATTGGGTGGCCAACCAATGTATGGCTCTTTTTGCTAACCAGTTTGATCAGTACTGTTTTGTTCATAGTATCTGTTGTGCATCCAGAAGCAACCCCAAATGGGCGTATACTAAGCTACTTAATAAGGGATATGCGGAGAAAACTCATGTAATGTGAAATCTTAGATCAGTCAGTGAAAGAATGAATATGCATATTGAGAAATATAAGGTTTCTTCACAGACTTTGTGTACTCTGAGCTCTTAACTTGTTTTTTCTTCTCTCCTGCAGCTCCATGTTCAGGCAGCACTTACTTTTGCCATAGCAACATGTGCATCAATAATTCTTTGGTCTGCAATGGCATTCAAAACTGTGCATACCCTTGGGATGAAAATCATTGCAAAGGTGAATATAGTGCAAAGCATAACCTTGGTGATCCAGGATTGTCAGTTAGCCTTTCATTTAAGAAAGTCATAAAACATCTTTTCCTGCAAATGTGCTGAAGACAGCTATTCTACTAAACTCAGGGAGATGTTCCAAATTTTTAATTTAAAACTAGGAGGCCTATGAGCAGGGTTGAAGAATGTACCTGCCCTATAATTGAACATTACATGCCCTTCACAAAGTATATTTTAAACTTTACACAGAACATTGGGCTTACTAAGTATATGCTTCTGTATTTGCCTGATTTGTACCACTACCATCTATTCCTAAACCTTGTTGCTTTTGCGGGGAAAAATCCTTGTTTTTCGAAGGAGGCCCCTTTATGTTACAGTGTGAAAATAATATAAATGTAGTTACTAAGCTAAAATGTATCATGTCACAGCAAGTATTATACACATTCCTAATCAGAAATGGTTTTCTTAGGTTTGCCTTAACTACAGGTGCTTTTCTGAAATATACACCTTTCCTAGAATGCTTCACAAACCCACTGCAATATGTGAGATTTATTTATTAAATATATAGCAACAAAACAATACCATCTTGCCCAGCATTTTTAACTACTGTGTGCTGAACTAAAGTACCCACTATATTTTGGATTCAGATGTGAACAGAATTGCGCAAAAAAAAAAAAAAACCCAGAAAGCAGTAAATAATATTCTATTGCATTCATACACGTTTCTTTTAGTCATCCAGGACAAATACTTTTTCCAGAGCAAAAAATTGCTAGAAATTTGTCTCCAAGGGTGGGAAACCTGCTGTAATCAAATACTGCCATCTTGTGTACTTTCATAGGAAGTGCTATCAAGTAACTTTTTTTTTTTTTTTAAACTGATCTTATGATGTGGACTGTTAAATAACTTGCAACGCAATACGTAGGTACAGTTCAGTCATGAAGCCATCCAGTGAAGTCAAGATAAATAGTATGGTTGGATTTTTTTATATTGTTGTTTTTTAAAGGACAAGATAATTTTGGGGCCTGGTTTTTCCTCCATTCAAATCAATAAAAGTTTTGCCAATGGGAGCAGTATTGGGCCCTTTGTGTATGAGCATTTGTAGCTATGCAAGCTAAAGTAATGATATGCTGTTTAATCAAATTTTAGTTTTCAGAATGTAAACTGATTATCACAGGGGTCAGGAAGTAACCCACACCCCAACTAAATAGGTTTGTTGGATTAGGGGAGGGTCCCACCAGCCTCTGAAGTATCATGTGTTTGTCACTGCTGAAGGCAGGGTACTGGATTTAATGAACCACTGCATTGATTCAGTATGGTAAATCCCACAAATCTATAAGTTCATTACATTTCTAAGGTTGTTCTAATGTAACTTCTCTTTCCCCCAAAACTATGGGCCATATTCTGCTCTTGAATGTTTGTGTGAACCTCAGGGAAAATAGCACCACTTATGAGAGCAGAGCATGGTCCTCGCCTGAAATTGCACGCTGTTCAGTGGGCTCAGTCCTGCAGTCCTTGCTCATCCCGTATGAGACGAAACTCCATTGTAATCAGTGAGTTTTGTCTGAGACAGGACTAATGCTTAAAACATACAGGGCCAAATTCTGCTCTCACTCACAGGGATGCAGTGCCCATTAATGGAGCCAATGCTTAATTAATAGACATTTGTACCCATATGAATGACCTCAGCATATGACCTGCTCTGTTATTTACACTTTTCATTGTCTTAAATCTTTGCTTATAAAGTCCAACCTCAAATTTTACTGAATTATTTCTGATTAGACATTTTAAACCGACTCAAAAGCCAACCCTTTCTCTTTTTTGCAGAGAAGAAAAAAACTGGACTGTTTGAACAAATCACCAAAACTCATGGAACCATCATTGGAATTACTTCAGGGATAGTTTTGGTTCTTCTCATAATTTCAATTCTGGTACAAGTAAAGCAGCCTCGCAAAAAGGTTATGGCCTGCAAAACTGCTTTTAATAAAACCGGCTTCCAGGAAGTATTTGATCCGCCACATTATGAACTGTTCTCATTAAGAGATAAAGAGATTTCTACAGACTTGGCTGACTTATCAGAAGAACTTGAGAACTATCAGAAAATGAGACGCTCCTCTACTGCTTCGAGATGTATTCATGACCATCACTGTGGCTCTCAAGCTTCCAGTATAAAACAAAGCAGGACCAACCTCAGTTCCATGGAACTTCCTTTCCGCAATGATTTTGCACAACCTCAGCCGATGAAAACATTTAATAGCACCTTCAAGAAAAGTAGTTACACATTTAAACAGGCCCATGACTGCCCTGAGCAGGTCATAGAAGACAGAGTGATGGAGGAGATTCCTTGTGAAATTTATGTGAGAGGACGAGAGGATGCTGCACAAGGCTCATTATCTATTGACTTTTAATCTCCTGCTAAAGGTGAAATTGGTATGTGTGGGTGTGTATCTGATACACACTGTGTATATATAAAAATATACCCTATGTAGTGTGTATAGGTATACACACTTTTTAGCTTACTGTATCCAATTCCATTTTTTTTAAAAAAGGAAAGATCTTCGTAACCAATTAGTGTTGCAGTGGTGGACTTTGCCCTCATCCCCCGCAAGCTGTCACTTCGGTTGAGCAACAAAACAGAAGGTTTTGCATGGGAACTATTAGTTAAGAATATTTTTAACTAAATCTGAAAATGACTAGATTATTTTTCTGCCCTCCCTTTCATATTATTTCTTTTCCTTTGTTAAATAGTTAGTTTTCAGACCAATTTTAAGTAGTTTAAGTAAATAAAAGTGGTTAAAGGCACCACCTATTTTGACACAGATGTCTGTTATCATATTTATCGAATTACAGCTAGAGTTACTGTGGTAAGTGCCAATTAAGATGAGTTATGTTGCATCCACCTGTTGCATCTTGACTAGTTTTTATATTGCTGCCTTTAATTATTGGCTCCTTAGTCTCTGTGTTCTGTGAGAAATATGTGAAATGGTCTATTGCCTTTTAACAGTATTATCTTAGCTATATTCATTTTAGTATCTTTGGGAATATATGGCCTTTGTGGATAAGATTTAACCCAATTCTCAAGTATGTCTTTTTAGACACAGACTTTACACAATGGCTTCTTTCAGGAAGATGTAGATTTTCAAAAGCATAGGAGTGGGCCAATTTCTGCTATGCGTTACAGCCATGCAACTCTGGCTCTCTGTTTTTTCCTATTACTTGCATAAAGAAACTCCATTGACTGTTTTATATATTTCTGTCTCCTGTAGTGATCCTAGTGCTAGATTCCTTATGCAGCGCCCCCCCCCCCCCCCATTGAAATCCAGGCTTGATACTCAATTAGTGTCTTACTTGCACAAAAAGTACAGGATGAAGCCTGCTACATGTTACACTTTGAGATCTATGTGATAACTAAGGTGTATGAAATTGTTGAGGACAAAGAAATCTGAAAGTAGCTGAATGAGCCTTTTAGCACTTAAGACTATCACATTTTTCTAGCACTTGTGTCCATGCTGCAAAAATGCACATTTCATATTTTTTTAAAAGTGCAGCTTAGACCTTGTTTTTTTTTTTTTTTTACAGCACAAGACAATTTGTAAAATAACAATTCTCATGGATTTTTTTTAGACTTTTGATATAATTTGATACTAATACAAACTGTTTATTAAATCAAGATTTAACACCTGTTCAGTAAGCCTCTTTCAGTGTCCCCATTAGCAGCATTGAATAACAGTCAGTGATTGGTGTGTACATTGTAACTTGTAAAGAATACTTAATGATATACAGTAGCCTTTTTACTCCCTGATTTGTTTGGATTTTTTTGTTTACACAGGAACTGTTACTCTTTCACTAAATGTGACCTTACAGTTCTCAGTTACTGGACATATCCTGTATTAAGAAATGTACATAAAGACAAAATTATCTTTTTTTTTTTTTGTTCTGACTGCAGACTGCAATGAAATTTAATTTAATTTAGTTACTGGAGGTTTCTGCACTGCAAGGACATTCAGTTGCTGGGAATGTGTGTAAAACAGACTATTTTTCCTGTTTAAGATTAAAACAAATGAGACTTAATTGCTGGTTTCCTGACAAGGTATGATTTGATGGTGGCAAAGAAAACTATTATTTCTGTCCCCTTATAGCAATGGTGTTTATTTAAAGTTAGGAACACTCATTTTCTGTTTGCTTTATTACAAGCAAGTTGAAATTGATACTGAATCCAAGAATCAGAACATCTGTTAGACTGACGCATACTATTTCTATCAAAGCAATGCAATCAGGCTTAGTTTACCTAATATAGATGGACAGTAAATGAAAGTGTGTAGCCATTCATTGAAATGTTATTTTCTTAAGACAGCTGAAAATCTTATGGATAACAGTAATTATCTCAGCCTGAATTCCATTTCCCATTAAACAAAACACTGGCCGCAAAGAGAAATGCTAAGTGGGTATCCATCAGAATGCTGAGAACAGCCATTTGAAAAGAAAATCCAGCATCTTGGGTTAGGATTTTAGACCCAGAGTTGGTGATAAGTCTTTTTTTGGCTTTAATCAAAAAACACAACCAGTCAGGTGCTTACAACTTAAAGGATCGCATAGCACTGTTCCCACCCTTTCTCCTATCCACTCATTTCTGCAGTACATGTTTCATGGGTGTAGACAGGGTCAGAATTTGGCCAAATATGATTGTTTCCCCAGACATTCATCACTAAAACGCCAACATTTACTGAGCAGTGGTACTTGTGATACTGCCATCTATTCCAGGGGTGGCCAAACTTACTGACTCTCTGAGCTGCACACGACAATCTTCAGAAGTTCGAGAGCCAGGGTACGCCTGCCAGACCTTGGGCCTTCTGCCCCACATGAGGCAGCTGCTGAAGCCCCGAGGCCACCCTCCCTGCTGCAAGGCAGAGGTCCCAAGCCTGGTAGGTGGAGAATGGAGGTGGTGTGGGCGGGGGGCTCCATGAGCCACACTAACTGTAAAAGCTGTATGTGGCTCATGAGCCACAATTTGGCCACCCCGATCTATACCTTGATACTGAGATAGCTTAAACATCAAAATGCTACTGTCTGCTGCATGATTTACTTCTTGGTAACTGGCCCTACAATTTTTTTACCCTTTAATAAATATATGAGAGGAACAATCCAGGACTCTTGGAAGGGGTACAGGGGGTTATCTACAGTTGCATATAGCTATGATTCATCATGACACTGAACTGCCACAGGGTTAACTCAAATTTGACACAGAGATTGACTCTGAAATGCTGCAGTATTTCAGGGATCACAGGAATCTTAATTTATACAAGAAAAATGACATTTTCTTGCTTAAGAACATAGTCTTCATACTGTGTACTAAGGACAAAGGAGGAGCAGTATACATTCAACACACAATTAAAAGGAAGTGACAGAAGAGCTAACAAATTTTCTTTGAGAACACCTGGTGCTAAAATTCACATTTTTATGTACTGAAAACCCCACCATATCCATCTGTTAGTGACTTTCCTAACTGTGCAAAGACCTATGTATCAGCAGGGACATAGGGAAAAGACACTTTTAATAAATCATACATCATCGCATGGGTGGATTACTCAACTTTCCGATTTAGCTAAAGTGCTGCAAACATCACATGCTCTACTGCCTATATGCTCCACCAACAATGTCCAAGTAGTACTTGTCACTGGTGCCTGAAAAGCCAGAATGAAGTTGGGACTAGAGCAGTGTGAAATTGAGAGACTTCAATTCAGAAGGGCTCATGCGAACATTTTATTCAACTTTAATCCTCCTCTATTTTCAACTCTGCTTTTCAGATTCAAATATACTCATGCCAAAATTCAGACAAAGCCACTTACTCTCATCTGGTTTCAACACAAATCCATGTATCACCCCAGTGCTTGCTCCTTTCACCAAATGAAAGGTTCCAATCGCTAACAAAGCCAAACGTACACAAGTTACACTGAGAAATGTTAAAGACTATTCTAACTGTAACCCATTGGAGCAGTTAAGTAATTTACATGTTAATACTATATACATTTCTCTATAAAAAAATCTATTTCAGCATCTGTCTATTCCTGCTTTGAATGTGATTGTTTGTGTTATCAGTTCGTGAGCTAGCTGTGTGATGCAAAGAGTGATATCTGCAAGGTTTTTGCTTTTGTGATGATCTTTTCTCTCCTCCTAACCGTCCCTGTAGAGGATAAATGCTGATAAAAATGGACTTCAGTACACTATGTATTTTGTCTCCAATCTGAGATGAGTGTAGCCATGAAAGTGAAAGGCTATTTTCATTCCGTTTCTTTTGCTACACTCCATTTTGCAGAATCAGCTTAACTAAATCTGTTTTCCATCTGCTTCATAGATCAGCACTAATAACAATCATTTCTGAATTCTCAACTTGTTCTCCCTTATCCAGCCATTGTTGATAATCCAAAATACAGCAGATAAAACGGCTTAATTTCTATAAGCCTATTTGATCCTATAGAGTCAAGCCTAGAGACAAACAAAGTGAAGACCTCATGTCTTTGTCTGTCTTTTTATTATCAAGGTGCCATTTCTACCAGTGGGTTTTAATCAAAGAAATGCATGTTGTTTATGAGTCAGATCTGACCAGGGAGAGAAAAGTGCTGTGACAAACCAACAAATAGGTACATAGCACATACACACTGCAAGATAAATGTTAAAAGTCACTGGGTTTTGGCTGGTAGCTGCCCCACACACAGTCACCTGCTGCTCTTCCATAAATGTAAGGGTGGTTGTGTGCTGCTGGGTATTGGGTATAGTAGGTACATAAATGCATGAGGCCAGATTCTCTTTTCTGTTCCAGCCCCTTTGCACAGCACTTCTGGTGCGAAGGGAGAAGGGAGCAGCAAGCATTGTCCCCCATCCCCTAAGAACACCCACTCAGAGGGGCGGGAGACCTGCTCCAATTTGAAGAGATTAGATTGTAGACACATGGAATTTCCCTCTGCCACCTCTACTGTTACAGACCAGGTTACTTGACCTCAGTTCCTCAAAGCTCACAGTCTGGCCCAAAAGGTTTGTTTCTGAAAACCACTTCAATTGGGTCACATTTTAGAAGCAATCCTCTCTGATTTTACCTGAACTTTAGAACTGCTGTGTGCTAGCTGGGTCAGTTGTCAAAAGGACAGAAAATAGCCTCACTCTCTACCCCGCAACAAGCCAGAAAGTCACAGAGGGGAATACGGGACGCAAAGAGGAATGTGAGGGGTAGTATACTGGAAAAGGAGGAAAAACATGGCCGATGAATGCAGAGGATGGACTACGGACAAGACACTGTGGGGGAACATAGAAGAAGCATTAAGTGTAGCAGAAGAGTAGGTGGGAAAGGGAGAGAGACATGACCGTGACAAGGGAGGAGGAAAGGGATAGAATGACAGCTCCCCCTCCTCTAAGGCTAGGAGAGGGTTAGTGTATTCCCCCATGGAGCAGTTACCAAAAAGGCCCACATTCTTGTGTATGGTTTTTCTGGTTGAATTTGAATCTTAAATGCTCATGTACAATTTGAAGGTAGGCAGCTTCTCCTTAAAAGACTCTGAAAACCTAAAGCTAATTTAAAAAATAAAACATTTTTATAATATTCATCATTTTTAAACCATTCTTGTATTTTTGGAGTCTGACAGAAATTTTGAACAGTTGAGACTGACAATGCTGCCAGCAGTTAGAAAGATAATGAGCAACATGCAGGCTCTCTGCACTTCCACTCCCCTGACTCGAAAACACAGGTTCTGATGGTTGCTTTAAGTCCAAAGCATTAGATTGTATCCTTATTCTGACCAGACCGGGGCACCTGCACAACACCAGTCCCCTATGCCCATCTCCATT